GTCTCACCCATTTCAGTGCGGGGGAGGGGCACAGCTATGATGCAGTTTTCTTGGCATCTGAAAATACATTTCCTCAAAGGTATTTTTAATCTGAAAAGAGCTTCACTGAGTGAGAACTAATGTTGAGAGCTCAGCAGACAGTTAAGTTTCACTTTCACTTTCACCAGAGAGCCTGCAGGAGTCATGGRCGGGGTGTGTGGGAAGGGGGGGTGCTCCGCCATGAGGAAGCTCGGCTTAAAGACACGTCCCAGGGGCCTTTCTGTTACCAAAAGGCATTTCTGGTCCCCACCTGTCGTTTTGCTCCTCAGCATGGCTTCCTAAAAATGCTGTAGGGTTTCTCAAACATGCATGAATGAGTCAAAGCAAGGCTTTGTGCATGTTTTTTATGAGAGTGTAACATTATAACATGATACAAAATGCAAAAAGTTGATTTTACATGATATTGCCCCTTTAAAGACTTTTCTTCAGGATTTAGATTCTTTGTTCTAAACAAATCAAGCAAAAAAAAAAAAACCTTACACGTGTCATTTTCACTATAGCATTTCAGGAAGTTGTTTTTTAGGTGACTTTTTAGGCTTTAAAAACCTCCATTCTGCAGGAAAATGGAAGAAATAAACTTTGTACTACAGACGTAAAGAATAAACCTTCTTCATTCATGTTAAAATTAGAGTAAAGCTTCTCAATTGACCTCCAAACGTATCTGTGTCACACCGATCTAATAAATGACCGGCTCCAGTTTAACAGAGTTCCAGTTGCATGTTTGCAGGTCAGCTCACAGCTGCACCCATCAATAGTCTCTCTCTCAGGAACTCATTGATTCGTGGCTTTTTTATAGCTTGCCTGTGAGTGTTACTACACATAATATTGATTAGTCAATGATTTCCAATATTTCTGCTCATGTAACTTGSTAGACATGCAATTACAAGTGTTTCTTCAGTTAGACAAGTAAATAAAAAAAATCACAATGGCTGGACTATGAAAGAATCAAAGGCTGGAAAAATCAATAAGTAAAGATTATGTATTTAAAGTTTTAATTCTAATTATAAACTCTTTAATTATGTGGGTGTTTCAGGGGGCAGAAATCATAAGTGTAATTTTAATGTTCACAAAGCTCAGAAAGGTCCCCAAAATAAGAGCTGCTTTGAAGGGAATTTTTAGTTTAACATCGTTTTTCAGTAATTGAATTGTTACATTATTTGACTGATCCACAGTGTCCTGCTTCCAGACATTTTATTTAATACCTCTGCAGAGTTTCATTGTWATGACTACGTGTAGCAGTGCTGCTGAAGGAGTGACAGGGGCAGCCTTTGAGCCGTTTGGGTTCTGTTGATGCAATGAAAATAAATGTAGAACCAAACAGATGGTGATCTTACGTCTAGAACCTGAAGCCTTATCTGCCAACTATCAACACAGGACTGCGCATGTCTGCCAAATGCTYTCTGAGACTAATAATAGCAGTGTTTCCTACCTGAGCCAAATTTCACTTTCATAGAACAAAAATAGTATTGCGAGGACTTAAATAAGTCTGTGCACAATAACTTAGGAGTTCTCCCTTTAAAACTTTTGTTGTTTAGTTGATTATTTAACTTTGTATGATTCAACAAATTAGTTATTKTTAATGATTCTGAAGGTGAAGCCGCTGTTCTTAGCTGAGAGGAGAGATTTTCAAGTTCAAAAGAAAGACTAGAGATCTCAATTCTGGGTTTATTGTGAGTCAGTGGCACTTACCATAAAATGTCATTGCTTTCTTCAAAAGCCAATAAAATGATCAAAACCTGACACAAGATGTTTGCCAGCTCTCTTGGCACAGTCCAAACAAACAGAACACTGCCAAGTCTAAGCTCCTCCCACCCCTGTGATGTGATACAAGGCAAAGTGAAGTATATTGTTTCAAGCATTTTGTCTAATGTAGCAAATAACCATCATTGATTTTCTTACTATGAGTAAAGTTTCACTGTAGCTTTATTTAAAATTAGTTTCAGCCACCTTCAGCTGTACTGATTAGAAAAGTGTAGTGATATAAAATCGCAGCAGTGTTAGTGCAACAGCTGATCCAAGTGGAGTAAGTGGTAAATGATTGATTCTCTTTATGCACCTGGCATAGTAAAATTTTTACTTCAAAAACTGAGTCAGGTGATTATTAATAACACAAATATAAAGAGAGCCACAAATTTTAGATTTTCCGTTTTGATCTCTAAATTACGACGGAGTATTAGGGCCACACAACAAGATTTTTTTTTATTATTTTGTGATTAAAGTCATAATATTACGAGATTAAAGTTGTAATATTACGAGATCAAAGTCATAATCTTACACGACGTGACCATTTTCCATTCCTAATTTCCTCATTATTTTCCCCACACCTTCTGTGTACAGTGTGTTTATAAAGTAGTCCACAGTGACTTGGGCCACTGTTAGTGCAAGCATGTGAAAGCATATATTAATATGCTTTCATCCAAATTAGCTATGTGACGACTAAATCTGTCATTGCATCCATTAGTTACAATACGGCTTCAGTTTATAGTCATTTGCACAATTTCTAAGTCCTGCTACTGATAATTAATGCTAGTGTGCTAAAATATAAATTATTTTTAAGCAATAGTAAAGAACAACTTGACAAGTTGCTCAACATTCCTTATTTTGATGCAGTGGTAACTGCATGCTTTTTCATGTAAAGGCTAGAAAATTCTGACTTTTTTCCTCATAATATTATGACTTCATTCTTGTAATATTATGACTTTATTCTCGTAATTTAAAAACAAAATAAAAAAATCTTGTTGTGTGGCCCTAATACTCTGTCATAATTAAAGGGGACCTATTATGCAAAATTCACTTTTTAAAGGTTTTTTTACTCAAATTTCGGTATGTACTTCTTAAAACAGTCCTAGGACCAAAACAATGCACCCAGGGGCATATTTACTGTAAGTTAATGTATTTTTAATGTCTATTAATGACAAGTTTTATACTTCCTACATTTTGTGATGTCACAAGCCGTACGAAAACCCACCGAAATCTGCGTTCAGCCCCCTACCTAGCTGGCTTTTATACCTCCAGTTTAAAAGGCCTTCACGGTTGTTGTTGTGCAATACGCAGCTCAATTCACAACAAGCCTTCCAATAGGGCAATGGGTAGAGTGTTGAGCGGGAGACCGGGGTTTGAGACCGACATGGACACGAATAATTGAATGTATTTATTTTTCATTCGTTATGAACTCATTTTCTCATGTACCTCTATTGTTTTTAGCTTTAGCCTATTTGCTCGAGTTTTGAGGTATTTTGACTGCTGCTGCTCCAATTACCTAATATGGGGAAAAGCATGTAAAACAATAATAAACCCCATTTTTTATTTTGCAGAAAAGAGCAATAAGAGTTATTACTGGAAAACACTACAGTCACCCATCAAATATACAGCGGGTAAAATAAGTATCGAACACGTCACCATTTTTCTCAGTAAATATATTACTAGAGGTGCTAATGACATG